AAAAAAGTTGATTTTTCAAAATTACTCTTTGATAGTATATTTTTTTTGAAGAATATCAATGTCATAATTGTACTTTTTATATCATTTATGAATTTAAAAGAAGAGCAAAACAGAAAATTTATATTATTTTTGTACTTGATTTTTGAAAAGTGACTAATATTTTGAGACAATAAAAAATAAAACAAATGACTAATATTTTGGGACGAAAGAAGTATGAAGATCTAGATTAGTATGTTTGTAGTTTTTTTTTCCTTTTTTTAACTAGAAAAATGATACTTTGTGGGTTATTATAGCATCTATAGATTACCTGAAATAATTAGTTAATAATTTAATTTAATCTAAAAGAAGAGACTCACTGTCCCCTCCTCCATCATAATAAGAGGCAAAGTCCCAATCAAAATATAACATAATCAATTGAAGTTATTCTGCGGTCCCAAAATTTAAGTCCTACCCTTTTATGTAAAAGACATATGCCTCATTTACTTGGCCACGACACAACTCAAAGTCTTTTTATATATTCAAATTTAAAATCTCACTCACTTTAATATGTGTTATTTCAATTTTCATGACCAGTTGCATAATTACCCGGGCCCTAATGATGGGGTTATTAAGGGTAAAAAACAAAAAAGGAAGACCCGTTATTCTTGCTCTCACGTGAAAACCAAGACTACAGGACAAACCCAAACACTTTGCAATGATGCAAGACTCTTTCTTTGTTTGTATTTTAACTTTTTAGAATAATTATTATTAAAACTTTTATGTGTTGAGTAAGAATATGTTAATTTTTTAGTTAAATATTAATTAAAAATCTATTTTTTTATTTTAAAAGATTATTATTTTTTAAATATATTCTCTAACAAACACTATTTTTTATTTTATTTGTTGGGTATTATTTTCCTAATTACATGTAACTAGTAATTTGATATTTAACTAAAGTAATTAGTCAATAATTGTGTTGGATAAAGTGTGTTTATATGATTTTGTGCTATAAAATAACTAAGAGAAAACTCTAATGAACTTGATAATGATACTCTAAATGCTGTTATTGGAAAAGTATAGGTGCAATTTGGATTTTGTTTATTTATTTATTCAGTGAACCTTTTTTGAATTTTTTTTTTCTTAAAAAAACTTTCTTCAATTCTTCTAGATTATAAATACATGAGAAGTAAAAATATAATTAGTAGTGTTTGCAAACAGAATGATTTTTTTTTTTTTTTCCTTTCAATTATTGAATTTCTCTCTACCTCATTTTTCTAGGATTTATCTATTTTTTTTTTATAGTTTATCTTCAAATTTAAACTTAATTTGTTTTTATCTTTATCTTATATTTATAAAATCCACTCTTACTCTTGATTTTCAGTTGAACTTTTTTTTTTTCTAAAATTATTTAATTAAATATAGTAAGATCACTCAAATATATTATTTCAATACCCATCTAAATTAATATTATAATATTTAATTGTTAGTTTTTAGCATGTTTAGCATTATTTACCATTTTTTATTACTTACCCGTGCATAGCACGGGTTACTGCTAATTTATTACTATTTAATTGTGTAAGGCTAACTTCTTTTTAAAATGGTTAAATTAAAATTTTTAATTATAAATATATAGCACCACTCTATTATTTTTGTATTGAATTTTGACAAATTTGGTATTATCGCGTGACGAGCTTTCTGTGGCATTATTTGGTCACACTCACCTAGATTGATTTGGTGGAGCCTTACTCATGACCTGAACAATTTTTTTATTCTTTTGGGTAAATTATAAATACATCCTTGAAATTTGTTTAAAATATAAATTATTCCTATAATTTAGAAAATTATAAATACCTCTTTGTCATAATTTTTTATTTAACAGAATTAATTGAAAAAGTAAAATTTCTAACCGTTCACCTATACAATAATAAAATTATCTGAATTATTAATTGTAATAATATTTTAACATTATTAAAAATTATTAATTAACTTGATGATTTATTAATAAAATGACTTATTTGTTATGAAATTAGAAACTATAGGGGGCATCATGTAATTTTTAAAATCACAGAGAGTAATTTATAATTTAAGTAAACTTCACACGGTGTGTTTGTAATTTACCCTATTCTTTTAGGTTAATGACACTTGTCCTTTTTGCACTTTTGTTGAAATTGTAGTTTGCCTTTATGAAATTGGAAATGACACTTAACATTATAATTTTGTAAAATTTGCATTTTGGTACTTGTAAAATAAAAGGCTGCACTTTGTACCCTTAGTAAATAACACTTTTTTGATGCGCAAACTATTTAACAATAATGTAGGCATTATAATTTTGGAGTCTAACACAGTAATTAATGAAGGAAAAATATCAATAAGTACAGGAAAAATAGGTTTAGACGGCGTTTTTTTAAACGTCACTTTTATTAATATTTAACGACGTTTTATAAAAATGTCACATATTTCGTTAATAAAACGACACCGTTTTGAAATCGGAGGCGTTTAAAAACGCCTCCAAATACGTTGGCCCTCACGTGCTATTTTGAATGTGAGAATACTTGTTAAAGCTTTGGAAACCCTTATTTTGAATCTCACTCACGCCTTCACAATCCTCACGCCTCTCTCTTGCTCACCCCCAATTGCTTCTAAACCCTTGACAACAATTTCGATTCAGAGCCATTTTCTTTGAGATTCATACAGATTCATAATTTGACTTGGTTGGAAACCAGAATTTCGATTTGAAGCTCACATTAGAGCGATTTCGATTTGAAGCTCTGAAGCTCCGTTGTCTCGCTCTCTCTCTCTCTCTCTCGATTCATCCTTTGTACTCTGCGATATCGATCTGAAGCTCTGGGAGATTGCGAAGAGAGAAGAGGGGTTGGTTTCGATCGCAGAGGAAGTGATCTCATGAGAGGCTGTGCTTGATTTCTTAGATCGGTCTCAGAGCGATTTCGATTTTGAGATTCATCTTAGAGCGATTTCGATTTTGAAGTTCTCTCTCTCGATTTCGAAGCTTCACCGTGAGGTATTGATTTCTCTCTCTCTCAAGCTAAAATCTTGGAAGCTAAAATCTTGTTAAAACAAGTGTTTAATTGTGTTTTTTGCTTGTATTTCACAGGTATTAAGTCTGCATTAAATCAATGTTTCAATTTGTGTTCTGATCATTGACTTTCTCATTTATTTTGTTTGTTAATCTTTGTAATCTATCAAACTAGTGTTTCAATTTGTATATATATAATAGATCTGTGTGTTCTTTTTAGATTTTTCTTCTCTGTTTTGAGTTTGTCTGCTGTGTAGAATTAGTGAACTCGATTAGGATGAATTGATAGAGACTAACTAGTTACTTCATGGATGCCTATTGTACTTTCAGTTGTGTCTGACTTCCGTATAATTTCTCCCCTTGTGATTTCAGTATAATTTCTGCTAAAAAACACCAGCCATCTCTAAATCTGCTCATCATGGGTACAATGTTGATTTGGTTGTTGATTTTCATTTGTGCAGATTAGGATCGAAAATTGGGGCAGAACGCCTAAGAGAGAGAAGGCAGTTGAAGAGGTTTCGTTCTATATATCCTCTGTAAGAGAACTGATGTATTATTGATTGATTTCTGATTTATTGTTGATATATTTACAATTCCTATATATAGAAGAAAATGTGGTAGTAGGTGTAGGAGTGAAGTGGAGGTGGTAGGTGGAGTGTGTGATAGTGGAGGTGGTAGGTGGAGATAAATTCTAACAGCCCCCCGCAAACTCAAGGAGGATAGAAACTAACCAACTTGAGTTTGGAGAGGAACAAAACAAGAAAATACATAAAAATAAAAGAGGATAAGAGACACTGTATGGTCGTGTCAGACCATTGGTGAAGACACTGGATGGTGGTGTCATAACGTTGTAGAGGACACTGTATAGAATGGCGTAGAACGACTTCCACCTCAAGAGAAGGAGGTATGAGCTGGCAACTCTCCCTTCTCTTCACGTTGTTGCCATTGTTGACACTCACCCTCACCATTAAAGAATGTAGAAATTGTGTGGGTTTGTTTCCTCTCTCTCTCTCTCTCTCTCACATCTTTGTGTACAAATAGAGACGGGAGGGAGAAGATGAATGTATCAGAAAAAGGAAGAGTTGTGAGAAGTTTATGAGAGCTTTGAGTTGAGTAGAGAGAGTGAGATACTCCTCCTCCTCCGTTTTGTATTTTTGCTCTGTTTTAGTGAAAATTCTCATTTCTGCTCCGTAGACGTAGGCATTGGACCGAACCGGTATTCACAAAAGCCCTCTGTGTGTGTGTGATCAGTGGACGTTTAAATGCTGCACCTCATTTGTCCTACTTCTGCAGCCGGTTCGACAAGTTGTGGACCGCCGTCATGGTTTCCACACATGACTTCAAGTATACTGATTGGCCTCCACATCCGACTTGCAAAACTGCCATCTTTTTGCGCTCCACAGACCGCATCGGAAAGTTCAAACGAAGCAAACTCCGGGCGCTTGGTTGAGGTTCCAGTGCCACCGCACCAGTTCTCCTCTCTTGTTGACTCGTTGAGGTCGGGAAAGAGGGTGAGCAGTCCACGGGGAGACGAGGACGAGGCCATTTTCTGGGCAACAGCGTGTTACAGACTATCTTCTCTCAGCAAAACGAAGAGTTTTTTTTTCAGAGGTTTTCTCAGTTTCTTGTCTCAGCCTCAGCCTCGGCCTCAGCCTCCGTCTTGGTTAAATAGCCGAAGGCAGCACGCGCATCGCGCGCCTCTTGCCACCAGACGACAAAACGGAGCGCGCAAGCCAAGGCGCCCACGTGCCTCGCCATCATGTCCGGCACACCTTTTTATGGAATGGGCACGCCTTTTGATGGCACGCCTTTTTGAAGATTGGGCACACCTTTTGAGGGTTGGATTTTTAAGGGTCGACAAGACTCTGTAAACTGTCCCGACATTGATTCGGTTAGCTCTTTATGGGTCCGACAAGACTCTGTAAACGTTCCCGACAATAGATTCCGGTTAGTTTCTACAGGTCGACAAGACTCTGTAAACTGTCCCGACATTTGATTCGGTTAGTTTCTACAAGGGTCCGACAAGACTCTGTAAAACTGTCCCGACATTGATTCCGGTTAGCTCCTTATGGGCCGACAAGACTCTGTAAACTGTCCCGACATTGATTCCGGTTAGTTTCTACAAGGGTCCAGCAAGACTCCGTAAACTGTCACAAAAACTGTCACAACATTTGTCTCGCTACAACGGTCCGACATGACCCCATAAACTGTCTTCTACATCGGTCTGACACTGCCATCCAGTGTTCCTCTACACCGTTATGACACCCACCATACAGTGTCCTCTACAACGTTTATGCCACCCCCATACAGTGTCCTCTACAACGTTATGAACACCACCATTCAGTGTCTTCACCAATGCCGACGACCATACAGTGTCTCCTATCCTTTTTTTTATTTTTATATTTTTCTTGTTTTGTAACTCTCTCCAAACTCAAGTTGGTTAGTTCCTATCCTCCTTGATTTGCGGGGGGCTGTTAAAATTTACCATACACCTACCACACACTTACCATCACCTACCACCACTCACCTACTACACTCACCTACCACCCCATCCACATACACCTACATCTATATAAGGAACTTTGTAATAGACAGAATATAACAATACATCAATCAATAATACATCAGTTTTTTTACAGTTTGTTTAAGGAGCTATAGAGTTCTGGTAGTGCAGAAGTTTGAAGTTTTCACCACTAGATTGGATTTTCCCTAATATTGAAAACAATCCCCCAAAGTTATCAAGAACTGCTTTTGTCACCGATGTCTTTTTTTTTTTGTTCTATTTTTTTTTCTTTATTGGTGCAAGGGAGGTTGAAGCCAAAAAACAAGAAGAAAGAAACTAATAATTAGAAGGAACCACAGCACCCCACAAGCTGCTTCTCCTGCCATAAGCTTTTGGCTAAACTCGTCAGGAGGCACTCGCAGGACTTGTTATAGTGGCTGTGAAGCTAAAGCCACCTTGCAAGCTATCGGGCACATCATTTGCTTCTCTAGCGATATGGTGGCAATGTCCAACACCAATATCCTAGCGAAGTTGTGGATGTTGTTATTCAAAATTGCGATCGCCGATGTTTTCCTACACATAGGTATTTCACTTCCTAAGGAATTTTTGTGGAAGTCTATTAAACTACACTTTGGACGATTCAGTTCTGTCTGAATGCCTTTTTTAAGGCTTCACTACATAAATGTAATTACTTTACCTGGCTATCTTATGTTTTGCGTACTCAATTTTATTCTAAGAGTCCTAAGTCTGACTGTTGTCTCTGTCATTTTACTCCTTTGTTGTTAGTTGTGAGTTTTTATTTATTTATTTGTTTATGCAATTTGATTTAATTTTTTTTGTTCAGAAAGTGCAATGATAATTTTCATTTGGATCTCCTTTACGTGCTTGGAGGTCTAATTGGTGGTGCAAAGAAGAATCTGGAGCTATCATTGTTGCAATCAGTTGATATCACCTGATAGATACACACTAGAAATAGAAAAACAATAATAACAGAAGAAATGAATGACAGAATGGATGGAAGGAAGAAGAATGTTTGCTAGGCCAATGCTTATGCTTGTCTGTTATTAGTCAGAAACTCTTGTTAACAATGTTCAGAATCCCATCCGTAATAACTTTAGATTTTGTTGGTATTCCAGTGTAGTGTTGTTCTTCCAGTTTCTTTAGATTTAACTCTGGAAAAGATTATTGTTACTTGTCTTTTATATACAAAAAAAGGAAATGTGTGCTTATATTTTTGTAAAGAAAAAAGACTTCATGTCAGGGCCAGGCTCTGTTCTGCTTTTACATTTGATTCGTTGACCATGATCAATTATCCACTGTTAGTTTGCATTTAAATCACTTCTCAAGTATACCTTTGGAAATGCCTACATTTAAACAAATTAAGGTAAATTGAGATTTACATTCTGATTAGTCAGCTTATTTATTTTTATGTTGAAGTTGATTGCTTGGATTATTGGACACATACATCCTTTTGCTTTCAAGGTATTCGCCAGGACAGTGGAAGTTTTTCTCATAATTCTATTATGAAGAGAAAGAGGTTTAATATTTGACTGTGAATAATGTCTTCTAACAAATGTGTAGATGAGGGTCACGAACCAATCTCTAAATTTATCAGAAATTGTGTTATGATGAAAATAGTAGAATGGCCTCTATTCTTCAGCGAGAAAAACAAGGATATTATATATTTACTTTCTGGTGTTTTTGGTTGCTCATAGTCCACACACTTCAGACAAATAGAACACTTTCAGTTTGATCTTCAATTCATGGCATTGGATCCACTTTCTAGTATCATGGGTTAAATGAGGGGGAAACTAATAATTGTAATCAGCGTGCGTTGTCGCGTTCTCTCACTAAATTTTACCTTTTTAATGTGACTTACTTTAATTCAAGTTAAGTTGTCAGAATGTAAGTCTTACAAAGCCTATGGAAGGATCCTTTATTGCTGTAGCTTTTCTGCCGTCTAAGGTTCTCGTTTGGTGAACCATACTATTTTTAGTAACTTTTGATTTTTTATGAAAAGATGTGCCAGAAAGTTTAAGGAGAAGTGATGTGGACAATTTATAGTGATTTTTAGCTTTTTGACTAAGATTTAGGTTGCCCAAAGAGGGCCTAAATGTGTCTGATTGGAGCTTTGCATCTAGCTTTCCATGATGTACGCAGTATGTGTGTGTGTGTCTGTCAACGACTCCATCCCACCCTAAACAGGATTAGCCTTTATGACTGGTCCAGTAATGCACTGACTACCAAAGGACCTAGCAAACAAGATAGATTCAGACTAAAAACGTTGAGGTTTATGCGAATACATTGTCCATTTAATTATCAAGAGTCCAATAATTAGGAGCATGTGCACAAGTCCTATGTAAACAAAAACAAGATACCTTCATTTATTTATCTTTCACATTAAAGTCTACAACAAAAGGGAAGATACATTGTTTACAAACATCCACTTTTAAAAAAAATAAAAAAAAAAAAAAAAACCTTGATATACAATAACACATCTCTATTATCTCTATAGCTGCGCACTCCCAAAAGTTGATAAAACAAAGCAAAGACTTCTTAGCTTGCTCTCTCTTCTCAATTTGAATCATCTCCATCTCTACACACCATATAGAGGAGCAGGGCGTGTGCCAAAGTCCAGTAAAATAGCCAATAGAGTTAAAGTGGTATAGGATGAATGAACACCAATAAGATTTCATTAAAAACAAGCACAACTCATTTCACACAATATATTGTACATGAAAACAAGCTTAATTTGCGCAATTAAATATTAGCAATGAACATTTCCAAGGCTTTTGTAAATGAATTGTCCCACAACCAGGCAAAGAGCTCAGTTAACTTCTGGAGCAGAGCCAGTTGGGCGTTTAAATCGTGTGCACCTATTTTGTCCTAGCTCTGTGGCAGCCGGTGCGAACAAGTTTGTGACCGCACTGGTCTTCCACATCAGGACTTCAAGTTATACTGATTGGCTTTCAATGTCAGTTTGCCTGCCATTTTTTGCTCCACAGATCGCATAGGAAAGTTAACGGAGCAACCCGTGGTTGGGTGCTTGGTTGAGTTCACTGGGCCCCCGCACCAGTTATTCCTTGTGACTCGTTTAAGGTCTGGAAAGGAGTGAGCAGACCACGGGAAGGACGCAAGCCATTTATCTGAAACAGAGTGTTACAGGTATCTCTCTCAGACAGAAATCTCTCTCAGAATCAGAGCAACAGAGTTGTTACGAGTATCCTCTCAGAAAATCTATCTCTCAGGAAAACGAAGAGTTTATTTTCAGAGTTTTCTAGCAGGTTTTTGTCTCTGTTCCAAGCCTCAGCCTCCGCTTGTGTTTATAAAGACCTGAAAGAGGCCGACACGCGTTCTGGTCGATCACGTGCCTCGCCGCGTGTTCTGGCGACCTTTTGATGGCACGCCTTTTTATGGATTGGCACGCTTTTTGATGGCAACGGCCTTTTGAAAACATGGGCACGCCTTGATTGACATCGCCTTTTTATAGATTGGGCACGCTTTTTGATGGGCACGCCTTTTGAAAGATGGGCACACCTTAAGGGTGCGACTTTTAAGGGTCCTGACAGACTCTTGTGTAAACCTGTTTCCGGACATTGATTCCGGTTAGCTCCTTTATGGGTCGACAGACTGCTGATTAAACTGTCCCGACATGATTCCGGTCAGCTGCTACATCGGTCGACCTGACCTGCGTAACTGTCTGCTACAACTACGACATGACCCGTTTAAACTGTCCTGCTACAATCGGTCTGTTAAGTGTAAAATGTAAATTGTAATGTAAACTACCACCACCTACCACCTCCCTACCACCTCACTCCACCTACCCACCTCCACTACCACCTTACACCTTACTACCATCTTCTCTATAATATTAGGAATTGTAATATACAGAATAAAATCTATCAAACAATACATCATCAAATAATACATCAGTTTTTTTACAGTGCAACAAGGTCATAAATTTTGATTACCTTGGTATTGATAGTTCTAAGAAGCACTCTATCCATAACAATTTTCTAATATTAATGTTTTATAAATACATACTAGACATGGTGCGGTAATAGTATGGATCATGGATATAATAGATCACGTTAATTTTACTGGATCATGAAATTATTAGGCTTCCTTGTCATTGTTTTTTATATATCGTGGGTTCTAAATCATCCAATTT